CGGTCGCCCCCAGTGGAAACTGTCCCCTCCCGACACTCAGATCACGAAGGGCAGACACTGCTACGAGTACGTGGACGGCAAGGACACATCCCGGGCCAACTGGATGAGGTGAGGGCGGCGCGGTTCCGGTTCTGCACAGGACACCTGTGCCCCGGAGCCCACTTCCTTCCCTGCCCACCCTGCCTCCCTCTTCGCCTTTCACCTCCTTCTTCTCTTTTTTCCTCTACTCTCTGCTCTTCCACATCATGAACATTCAAGAAAAAAGTAATCTAATTTATCTATCTATCTATCTATCATAAGGTATCTTTTATCGCAATATCAATGTCCAGGCTACACAAAATTCAGGCCGGGACAAATGCTGAGAGCCCACTTTCACTGGTGGGCCCGGATCCACACTGGACTCCACCTCTATTGAGGCTCTGCTGTGTTCCAGCTCAGAAAGTGGACTTCCTGGCTTGAACCGATGCCCACGTCCCCGTGCAGGGCACAGAGCAGGCAGACGTGAGACGTCTCGGTACCGGGATGTGTAACTAGGATGTCTGTTGTTCACGCAGTGCAGAGCGCCCGGACAAGCTGTAGGCCGGGGCGGCTGAGTCTCTGAGCCACGCAGACCTTGGCACCGGGTTCGAAGCAAGCCTGCGAGACTCAGGCTGAGGGCGGGCTGGGGTCCCTATGCTGAGCGCCCTGTGACCTGGAGACAGGCGCCCCAGGGGGACTCGGGAGGGTTTATTCAAGGTGCACACACCAACGGGCGGACTCTGTTCAAACTGGCGGGGCCGCCACAAAGGCGAGAGGGTCCCTCACGGCCAGTCTGTGGAGCGTAGCAAGCAAGTTACAGAAACAGGAGACAAAGGCAGTTAGTCAATCCCGACTCGTGTTCCGATCTTAGCCTCGAAGAGAAACTGTCCTGTGTTCCCGGGATGTCAGGACGTAATAAAACTCCTCTTCGGGCCAGAGATTTAGCTCAGCGGTGCCACCGCCTGCCTCAGAAGCACCAGGTCTTGAGCTCGATCCCCGGTACCACCCCCGAAAAACACAAACAAATCCCCTTTACAGCCGGTAGCTGTGAGCTGCGTCCGAGCTGTGGGGACACGGGCTGCCCAAACCACCTCTTCTGTCCCTGGAGGACACAGGGTCGCATTCCTGAGGCAGGGCGTGTCAGCAGGAGTCACCCAGGGTCAGGCACTCTCCGCACAGAGTTCCGTCTATTTCTCAATTTCTGTCTCATCATGCTAAGGCCAACAGAACTTCCTGCAGGACCCGGGCGAGGAGGCTGTGGTCCCGGGTAGGTGGTGGGAGGGCTCCCCGAAGACGACTTGGGCCCAGGGAGGAGCGGAGCCACTCCGGCAGCGGGTACTCCGTGGGGGAACTGGAAGCCGCTGTCAAGTTCAGGAAGGGAAGTCGTCACTGTGTCCCGCGTCCAGTCGAGTGGAGGAAGTACTGGGCCCTGAGCGAGGGCAGGACGCTGCGGGACGCGTGAGCGGTGCGGGGAGAGGCCGAGCGGGAAGTTTCCCCCGGCAGGGCCGGGCTGGCAGCGTCCACTGCTGGTGAGTGGCCGGGCCCGGAACTGACCGCTGGTGCTCCCCACCCAGGTACGTGAACTGTGCCCGGGACGAGGAGGAGCAGAACCTCGTGGCCTTTCAGTACCACAGGCAGATCTTCTACCGCACCTGCCAGGCCATCCGGCCGGGCAGCGAGCTGTTTGTCTGGTATGGCAACGAGTACGGCGAGGAGCTCGGCATCAAATGGGGCAGCAAGTGGAAGAAGCAGCGTGCGGCAGGGACAGGTAGGCGCCCCTGCGGCTCCTCGCAGCAAGGGAGAGGCTCCTTGGGAAGTCTCTTCCCCTCTTAAGGGCACTGAGATGCAGGCAGTCGGCCAAATTTCTAATTACGTACAGTGGGCCCTCGAGTTACGACCGGCCTGACATCCGAACAACTTGGGTTATGACTGGAGTTTTAGTTCTAACTCACAAGCAAATTCTTGAGTTACATACAACTCAAATACCGGCCGATAGTCTCAGACGCAGACTGAGCTCAGGACAGCGTCCTCTCCTGGGTGGGGTTCACTGAGAAACCCCAGGCCAGCGTCTCTCTGAGGACCCTGAGACCCGCTGTGCTCGGGAGAGAGACGCTGAAGGCCGGGCGGAGGAGCCGAGCCTGCGCTGGCCGACTCGAGTTACAACCGGCCCTCGGGAACGGATCGAGTTCGTAAGTCGAGGGTCCACTGTACTTCAAAATGAAAGATTCACGTTGCGTGCCTTTGACTCTTAGGAACAGTTTGTATCTTTAAAGTATTTGTTCCGGTTCTATTTTTAAGTGTCTCGTGTACAAATGTCCATGAGGTACAGTGCTGAAAGGGTCAGAGGCCAGGGACAAGTTCCCGGGAACCCGCGGGTCTCTCCCTGCCGCCGGGACACCGGTGGTGGGAACAGCCGTGGAGTGAGGCCGCTCTGCTCCGCGCGGCTCTGCTCTGGGTCACTTCTGCACGACAGACTGCGGCGATCAACCTGAGGGGCCGCTCCAGCCTCCGGGCGAGAGAGGGTGACGGCTTAGATGAAGGCGCAGCTCAGAGAGGGAAGCACCTGCTCATGGGGCCGGGGGGCCGCTCAGCGGCACCGCAGTCCACCGGCCTGGCGAGCGCAAGGTCTTGAGTTCGATTCCCAGTGTCAGGGAGGGAAAAAAAAGAAAAGAAAAACAAAGCAAACGGCTGATATAGGACAGACGTGGCAGCGGGCCTTCCCGTGTCGGAGAAGGGCTAAGCCTGGATGAAATGGGCCACGTGTGAGTACCCTGCGTGAGGCTGCGGGACGACACGTTCACACTTGCTCACTTGTGGCGCTCAGGAGAGAGGCGATGCCTTACCGGCGGTGGCAGCAGGACCCGGAGTCCCGCCTTGTCCGGGTTGGATCCTGCTCCCTGATGCAGAATCGCAGGGGGTCCTCATGCAGCGTCATTCTGCGTGGGAGATGCACACTCACCCACACTCACACTCACACACACACACACACACACACACACACACACACACGTAGTCTTTAACCCCAGCCCCACACCGCCTCCCCTGGCCGTGCATCTCCGGCCTGGCTAATCCCCAACGTAGCAGGTCCCTGACCCCTCAGGAAAAGCCGCTGAGGCCTGGCGTGCGAGACCCCAGCTCTGTGAGTTCTGGGGGGGATAAGGGGCAGCGGGCTGTGTCCCGAGGGGCAGCGGGCTGCAGGAGGATGCCGGGAAGACCGCAAATGAAGCGGGAGGCAGCTGCACCTGGCCCTGGGCGGAACTGGCCGCGCTGCCCTGGGAAGTCCCCGTCCCGCTGACGCGACGACATGGAGCCAAGGCCCCTGTCCCGGGCTGTCCTGTCCGGCTTTGCACTGCGCGGTAATGGAACAGAAGGGAAGCGGGCGCTGGGCCGCACGGCAGCCTGCGTGGGGCCGGCCTCGCTCCTACACCTGCCTGACCCGGAAGCGCTTCTCTCAGCAGGGCCCAAGGCGGAGGTCCACCCTTGTCCCTCCTGCTCCCTGGCCTTCTCCAGCCAGCGATTCCTCAGTCAACACGTGAAACGCAGTCACCCCTCTCAGATCTGCCCGGGAACGCCTGTGAGAAAAAACCCCAAAACGGAGAGTCCCCACCTGGAGGACCATCGGCAAGAGTCCGACCCACGCAGCCGCCGGAAGGACGAAGGTGGAGGGCCGGAGGTGCCGGGCAGGCCCAGCCCTGCGCGTCGCAGGACGAGGCAGAGGGGGGTTTCGAGGGCCTCGCGCAGCCCACCCGAAGGACAAGCGGGGGGCTCCAGGGCCGGTGAGGCAGGGGTGGAAGAGGGGCTCGGGACGGGCCAGGGAGGGGGTCCAGGGGACACAGGCTCACCCTGTCCCCCAGGGGGCGGCTCCCTTAGTGCGGGAGGCGAGCGTGGAGAGGGTGCGCGAGGCCTCGGTGATGGCGCACCTGTCAGCGGGCGCCGGGGCCCAGGAGCAGGGGAGAAGCCCCACGTGTGCAGGGAGTGTGGGCGAGGGTTTAGCCGTAAGTCACTTCTTATCCAGCACCTGCGGACACACACGGGGGAGAAGCCCTACGTGTGCAGGGAGTGTGGGCGAGGGTTTAGCCAAAAGCCAGATCTTATCCGGCACCTGCGGACACACACGGGGGAGAAGCCCTACGTGTGCAGGGAGTGTGGGCGAGGGTTTAGCCAAAAGCCAGATCTTATCCGGCACCTGCGGACACACACGGGGGAGAAGCCCTATGTGTGCAGGGAGTGTGGGCGAGGATTTAGCCGTAGGTCACTTCTCACCGGGCACCAGCGGACACACACGGGGGAAAAGCCCTCTGTGTGCAGGGAGTGTGGGCGAGGATTTAGCCGTAGGTCACTTCTCACCGGGCACCAGCGGACACACACGGGGGAAAAGCCCTCTGTGTGCAGGGAGTGTGGGCGAGGATTTAGCCGTAGGTCACTTCTCACCGGGCACCAGCGGACACACACGGGGGAAAAGCCCTCTGTGTGCAGGGAGTGTGGGCGAGGATTTAGCCGTAGGTCACTTCTCACCGGGCACCAGCGGACACACACGGGGGAAAAGCCCTCTGTGTGCAGGGAGTGTGGGCGAGGATTTAGCCGTAGGTCACTTCTCACCGGGCACCAGCGGACACACACGGGGGAGAAGCCCTACGTGTGCAGGGAGTGTGGGCGAGGGTTTAGCCTTAAGTCATCCCTTACCCTGCACCAGCGGACACACACGGGGGAGAAGCCCTACGTGTGCAGGGAGTGTGGGCAAGGATTTAGCCGTAGGTCACTTCTTATCGGGCACCAGCGGACACACACAGGGGAGAAGCCCTACGTGTGCAGGGAGTGTGGGCGAGGGTTTGGCCAAAAGCCAAATCTTATCCGGCACCTGCAGACACACAAGGGTGAGGGCCCATTTTTGCAGGAAGAGTAAGTCACTAGCAGTACAACCACACCCCAGCGGTCACAGAGACACTGGCAGCCACTGCACACCCCACACCTCAGATCTGAGGAGCCCACTGGCCCCTCCTTTCCCCCAGAGTGTAAAGGGACCAGAAGTTGTACAAATCCCCCATGTTCCTCAAGAGAGATGAGGTAGAAGAGCGGGGATGGTTCCTTATGTGTTCACGGGTTTTTCACTTGTTCTGCTCAGTGATTCCATCCATGGATTTCTTTGTCCTCCTGTTCTAATAAAATTTTCTGCCTATGAGTCTGAACACCAGGCCACATCCTTCATTGCTCCCCAGTCACCAACGGCAGAGGAGTCCAGGAGGGCCTCAGGGAACTCACACTCAGCTCGGGGCTTCACAGGAGATCAACCCTGAGAGGACCCTAGCGTGGCATCACTCTGCTTAAGTGACTGCAGAATCCGTTCTCAGGGCCCAGGGGCAGGAATCTGGGCATTGAGACAGAACTGGCTCATGGAAGGAGATTTCTGTTCTGAGAAATGAGCTCCTCCCTCCCCTCTGCTGCCATGCTTGTCCCTTGGTCTCTCCTGTCCTCTCCTGCTGTTCCTCAACTTCTTTTTTTTTGATACTGGGGATTGAACTTGGGACCTTGCGCTTGTGAGACAGGTGGCGGAACCACTGAGTTAAATCCCAGCCCTGTTGCTCAATTTCTCTGGCCTTCGCAGTGAAAGGCAAACAGGAATGTGTGTGTGCACGAGTGTGTCTTGTGTGCACGTTTTGCATGCATGCACACGTCTGTGTTAGTGCTGGAGGGCTGTGTGTGCAAGACCGCCTGGGTGGGCTATGGGTATGTACATCTGGTTTGGTTTTCATAAAGAAACGATCACAAAAATGAAATGCTGGGAGATGTTACTATCTGAGTAAAACAGAGTCAGCGTGTATAATTTCTGTACATTTCACTTGCTTGAGACTGGGTGTGGTGCCGCACACCTGTAATCTCAGCACTCGGGAGGCTGAGGCAGGAGGATCACTGTGAGTTCGAGACCAGCCTGGGCTGCATGGTGAGTTCCAGGTCAGCCTCAACTACATAGTGAGACCCTGTCTCAAAAAACAACAACAAACAACCCATCAATAGTACACGCCGGGTCACAGGCCAGCCTGGGCCGGAAGCTGCGGATGCCATGGCAGGAAGAGGAACAGCTTAGGCCCCGAGGGGACGCCAGCCACACAGGGATCTGGGCCACTTGAGTGGGCACCGGTCACCGGCAGTGTCAAGGCACAGTAGGAAGGGCTGGAGCTGGGGGCCACGTGTCCCGTGTGGGGTGAGGAGGGCGCTCTCGGGGCACCCTGTCCTCAGACCCCACAGGACACAGCAGGGCTGCCTCTGGACACTCCCGTCCGAGCTGTTTGACCCGAGACCGATCAGGGTCTGGACCAACGTACAGGCAGGGGACAGGGAGGCCGGAACCACCAGGAGAAAGCGGTGCAGCCAGTGGCAGGCCTGGTCCCCTCAGAGGGGCAGCACCAGACACAATGCCTGGGCACATGCAGACCACAGAGGGGGAACTTCGACTAGGGCCTGGTTGGGGAAGAGGCTGAAGGCCATTTCGTGGTCGAGGTGCTGTTTTGTGCACGTAGCTGGGGACTGCCCAGTCCCTGGGCTGTAGTGGGCCCCTGTGGTCAGGCAGAGGGGCTCTGGGCAAGGACACGGACTGTCCGTGCCTGTCTTGATGTCCGCATTTGTTTCCTTCTCTTTTTTTAGGTACCAGAAATCCAGGACCTTGCACTTGCACCACTGAGCTAAGTCCCTGGCCCCCGATCCGCGTTTTGTAATACCGCATTTCCCTGGAGATAAAACTTGGTCTTATATTACTGGTTGCTCTAAAAATCAGAACAGGGCTTATTTTTCAGGAGATGTCATAGTGTTTCTACATTAATCACCTACATTCATTCATGTACAAAATTATTCATGTACAAAAATCTATGTATTCTGGCCGCGTGTGGTGGTGCAAGCCTGTAATCCCAGCGCTTGGGAGGCTGAGGCAGGAGGATCGCCACGAGTTCCAGGCCAGCCTGAGCCACATAGCAAGACCCTGTCTCAAAAAAACAGCAGGAAAAAGGGATAGGGATATAGCTCAGAACAAAGGCCCTGGGTTAGCCTGAATTTCTTGTGACTCCATTTCCTGTAAAACCACTGGCCCAAGGCCTCAGGTCGGGTCACCGCTCCTCTTGTCCGAGCCGCCCTCTCCTAGGGCACTGGCAGCGGCTGTCCGCGGGCGGCCTCGCCCCACCAATTCTTCACCGCCCACGGCCTCTCTCACGCGGCTTCCTGAGCTGCACGAAACCCTCGAGGGCAGCAGTGCAACAGAAATGACGCCAGCTAAGAAGGATGGGCGCACAGAAGTGCGGGAAACACAGGAGCCCAGGGAGTGAGGGAAGCACGGGTGTCTGGGGCGCCACCGGCTCACGGGGTGCAAACCTAGGGTGCAAAGTGGAGCAGGAAGCCCCCAAACCCAGAACGATACTTGTCAGCTCCTGACATTGGAGGCTTTGGAAAAAATACAACAAACACGTTTTTTAAAAAAAAGGTCCTCGGGCCGCCGATTTAGCTCAGCGGTTCGGTGGACTGCTTTGCAAGCGCGGGGATGCAGCTCAGCGGCGCCACCTGCCAGGCAAGCATGAGGTCCTGAGTTCGAGTCCTGATTCCGGGCGCGGGGCGGAGGGGGGCACAAAAAGTAAAGGAGGGCAAGTTAATAACCGCCCGTCAATCTGACCTGGGGGGCGGCCCGCGGCGCAGGGCTCTGAGAACCTCGCGGGGCGCGCGTTCTCCGCTGTGCCTCAGTTTCCCCCTCTGACTGACGTGCGGGTGATCACCTGGCCTGGGGCTGGTCCCACGGTCGCAACCTTCCCGCCTGCACGCCGTCGTCTCTCGCCAGGCAGTCGCGCCTGCTCCCTGGCTGCCGGGC